GGGGAACCAGCAGTTAGCGTAATGGCTATGTCGCTGGACTCCCACGTAGTCGACCACGGTTCGTGTCCCGGACCCGGTGGCTTAAAACTCACGCCGGGCGCATGTGCGTGCGTGCCCAAGATCCCGAGAGGAGAATGGAGGAGAGGGGATTGCGGCGTGACCATCCCCCTGGGGGGTGATTTCTCGCTTTCTGTCTCTATGTCTCTCTCTGTCTGTCTGGCGAGCGCACGCGCCCTACAGTGAAAATCTCTCCAAAAAAAAAAAAAAGCAAGCTCTTCAAGGGCATAACCTATTTTTATATTTGTCCCTCTATTTACCCCACCTGACTAGACAGGCTCTCCGACACAGAACAGAGCATCATAAAGAACTATATAAGCCTCAGCTTCCAGTAAAACCTCACACTGCATGCAAGTTAGTGAAGGAAATTAACCAAAGTAGATAACCAAAGTCGAGCAACACAATTAGTTTCTAACACCTAATCATCTAGGTTTCATTAAGAAGAGTCAGGGTTTCAGGAAAGACATGTTATATCCAAATGATGATATCCTTAGCATCTGGCAGCAGGCCTACAAATAGCAGTTTTTTTAATATATATATATATAAACTATAAGTCACTGGGTCAAGGACTTGAACTGCATGGTCAGCCATGTGGGATCCAGCCTCCTAAACCAGTATGCCACTGGCAGGCCCCAGTGCTTAAATTTTTATTGGATTGAACTGAAATATGGATTGTTGAAGAGCCTTTAAAACTTTTTTATTTTCATTATCTCTTGCTTCTGTCTCCTAAAGACACACTGTCTTTTATCCCTGCCCACCCTCGTCACAGAACATGTAAGGGCCCAGGTCTTGGGACTCTAAGGACACAGTCCTAGAAATGGGAAACCTTATTTTGCTAATACTTAAAAAATAATCACCATAGAGAGTGCATGTGCACACGTGAATGGGAGGGGAAGGCGCTCCTGGCAGAGTCCTGACACCTGCGTCCCTCTCTCCAGCCCTGCGGCTCCTCAGGACCCCACTCACACACATGTGAACCTCCTGTGTTTTCAAGCCACGTCAGGAGCTGACCCACGGTCAGCCACGTGGCTTCCAACGCTGCAGTTCAGTTTGCTCCAAACTATGCCAACAGACTGGGCCAAAATGTGAAGTACTGATGAATGCTCCCACAACCCTGAGACACAGCATGCACATTTCCACATGCTACATGCCTGCTCCATACCCGAACCAAAGGCTGATGTGCACTATTGAGTCTGTCTACAGTAAGAAAACAAGTCAAATGAAGGGGAAGCAAAGAAAGTCTATTTTAAATAGGTAAAACTGATGTTTTTATGAAGGCAAAGAAAAGTTGGAAAAAATACAGTAATGTCTGTTTCACAGATTAGTTACTGGAATTAACAAATGATTTATATTAAATCTCTTAAATACTAAATACACTAACTTTTTTTTTAGAGAGCTTTGTTTTTGTTTGTTTGTTTTTGCTATAGGGCACATGTGCTTGCCAGAGAGAAACGGAGAGACAGAAAGCAAGAAATCACTCCCCAGGGTAATGTCCATGCTGCAATCCCTTCTCCATTCTATTCTCAGGATCTTGGGCACACATGCACATGCGCCCAGTGAGAGTCTTAAGTCACTGAGTCCAGGACTCGAAACCATGGTCAACTATGTGGGAGTCTGTGACATAGCCAGTAGTCCATCTGTTGGTCCCAAATACACTAACTTTTTAAAAGTTTAATCATTGTACCTCATTACAGTGAGTATACTAACTTGTAATATTCTAGAAAAACATGGAAAATACAGAACTGTTGAAACTTCAGACCCTTAATTTAACGATTAAAATTTTCATTTTTTGGAACCAGCAGTTAGCATAGTGGCTATGTCGCTGGACTCCCACGTACTCGACCGCGGTTTGCGTCCTGGACCCGGTGGCTTAAACTCACACCGGGCGCGTGTGCGTGTGTGCCCAAGATCCCGGGAGGAGAACAGAGGAGAAGGGATTGCGGCATGGCCATCCCCCAGGGGGTGATTTCTCGCTTTCTGTCTCTGTCTCTCTCTCTCTGTCTGGCGAGCGCACGCGCCCTATGGTGAAACCCTCTCAAAAAAAAAAAAATTCATTTCTTAGTGTTTTGACAGCAATACAGCTTAAAGAAAAAGTTTTGATACAATGATGATGTCATGAGAGGCAACTCAGCAGACCGCCCTGTAAATTTCCCATGAGAGGATAAACACACCTGTGCTAATACAACTCTGAAACCAGGGCAGAATTCACGATGATAAGTTCAATCGAAAAATGCACACTTTATACACACAGCTTTATATTCAGCTAGCTTTCTATGTGTTAAGGTTTAGTTTTTGCAAACTCGAGGTAAGACGAGGATAAACATAAATACAAGCGTACCTCTCATAGATGGTCTTGAGTGTCGTCTGGTCTGGAACCCCCTCCGTCTCCTCCAAGTACAGTATGAGCCAGGAAGTGCGGTAGGGCCACTGCTCGGTGAGGTTGATCCAGCTAGCCAGCCTGTCCCAGTTGAAACTGATCTGGTTGGCTCTCAGTAATCGCCCTTTGAGGAATGTAGAAATGTGTCAGAATTAATAGAAGCATAATATGTTAAGCAAAACATCAAATGTATTCACAATAATTTTAGATTTTTTAAATTGGCCATTCAGTTTATACTCCAAATTAAAATCTATATGGCTCCTAAGGCCCAAAGAGAGGTACTGAAAGGTCTCTAGGGCATAAACACACTTCTGTCTAAGCCTAATCTATCTGTCACCAGTGTGGTCATTTTGACCCCACAGTATATGCAGGCAAGACTCCTTCAGAACTACCTGTCACTCAGTCCCAATGCGAACCACAACCGTACCAAAGAACATCAGCTCACCTGTGATGGGCCCCAGTCCTCTAATGGTCTACTAAAATCCTACCGATGGGCCTTGATATGGTACCTGAGGACACTCCAATGCTAACAGTATGAGGAAACCAAGACCCACCAGGATGTGTAGGAGGGAAATCCAGGAGTGTGGCATTGAGGAAGCCAAAGGGAGACAGTGTTTTAGGAGAAGTGATCGGCACTAAGTGGGGTTAGGTAGGCTGAGGTCTGGCCCAGCCATTGCATCTTGTAATGTGGAAGCCGCTAGCCAATAGCCTTGGAAATACAATATGGCGGACATGCTGCAAGCAAGAGATCACTGGAGTGTAGGGTTAGCGCAAGTGGGAGAGAAAAATATGAGACACGGGAACGGGCGGCTCTTTCACCGAGTTTTGCTGGGAAATGGTGCAGCAGCTATAGGCAGAGGGAGGATCAAAAGTTTTTCTTGGAAGGTGAGAAATGATCTGTGGCCAATGGGAGAGTCTCTGAGTGCATAGGGACTGCCGGCCGTCTCCTGTGCACGGTGTTGCCCTGACACTACCCTTCCGTGACATTGCGTCTCCCGGTCTTCTCAGCTAAGGCAGGGGCTTTATCTGGTTCACTGCTACATGCTCAACACCCAGACCAGTACAGGCGGCAGCAGACACCACTGCACCGTTGAGCACACGAATGCTGCTGCTGGACAGAAGTACAGCAAGGCCTGATGCCCAATTTAAAGGGATCTGATTGCTGACACTACTATAAACACTAACTCCAACCTCACTCGTGACACGGTCCACGGGAAGCTCGGTGTTACTAGGAAACACAGTTCCAGTGCATCTACTGCAATAGAACACTAGGAAATATGACAGAAAGCCACTGGGTACCGTGCAAAGAGCCAAACATATACTTGACAAACTAAAGCATATGCGGGTCGTGACTGCCCTAAGGCTAGCAAACAAGTAGGAAGTGACACAGTAGAAAGCAGAATTCTACGCAAGGAACTTAGAAGGCAAGGACCCCGACTTCGCCGTCAATATTTTTAATCAAACTATCATATGAAAACTAAAACTGAATAGCACCATATAAAATTTAAATTTTAACATTTTAAATTATGTTAATGATACTCAGTTATGCAACTTGGCATAAAATTATCTTTACACAAAGAGGAAAATTAAACCTGAGGTTAAAAGTCACCAAGTTTTAAAATAGTGTACAACTGATAGTTGGCTTTTCCATGTCAAAACTCATACTGATGTCATTAGATTCACTTAACACAAATAAAGTTGATATTCGGCCATGCAAACATAAATGCAGTATGTCCCTTTGTTTCTGAGATTAAATGGCCCCGTTAATGTCACTAACAGCTCATGACCCACCATGGCCAATAAAAACGAAAGTCACCTGTCACAGAGACTATGTTCAGCAATCGTCTCATGGTCTGAGGGCTGATGTCACTGAACCAGTCCTCGGTCACCAGCAGTTTTGTGAGGTCAAAGGACATCTGCCGAGGGATGGTCCGCTGCATCTGCCGCCTTCGGTACGTGTCCTGGAACAGTGTCAGCAAGGAGAAGGGACCCTCGTTTTCAGCCTCAGAACTCACAGCATGTGGAGAAGTTAATAGATATTTACAACGACAAAAACCCGAATTCTAGTCAAGGACTACACTACAGGAATACGGCAGCATTCCCTCGGAGGTCGACTCCGCAGAGCAGTTACATGCTCCGCTTCTGCTTCTGCTGCATTTCGGGTTACAATTATGGCCAAGCGCAGTGCCTCTGAGATTAGGAGTAAGTCACCTGGGTAAAGACCAATACATTCGCCTCCATGAGGGCTCAGCACATACAGGAGCCCTGAAACAATAGAGCAAATAAGCCCCGTCTGGCTTGAGGGTTGTGCACTTCGACTTCCGGGTTCTCTGCCGGTGTGTAACTGAGATAACCTGGGCGAGGAAGGCTCTAGGTGAGAGCTCGGGCCCTCCTCTTCCTGCCCCCTCCTTCCCAGATGGGGTGGGGTGCGCTCAGAGGCACAGTGACTCCACCCTCACTAAGGGGGGGAAGTTCCCTAAGAGGGGAAGCGCTCCACGGGTGGGCTGCGGGTCCCATCTCACACCAGGAGAGACAGGCCTCACCAGGGAGCATTCTCTCAAAGGCCCAGATGCATGGAACAGCGGATGCCACCACGCGTGCCTGAGCGCAGACTCCCGGGGGGGATTTAATCAAACCCTCCTCACAACTGAGTGCAACTGTCCTTTATCTTATCATCTTTGGACTCTTGCCTATACAGGGAAGAGGCATAAAATCAAAATGTCAAATGCCACTCTCCAGTGACATTTTCTAGAAAATAAAATGCTCCAAGCTGCATAGTAACAAATCAGATAAAAATGAAATAAATGCCAGCGTTAGCCCGCCCTCACGTCCCGACACAGCTCGGTCACCACATCCCAAAAGCGGCCATCTTCCTGTCGTTCACAGACGTTTTCACAGACACACAAGGAGAAGGAGGGAAGCAAAACTGAAGTTGGAGGAGAGACCCAAGGTGGCTGGGAAAGGCACGAAATCAGTGTGTGGGGTAGAAGAAAGAGCGCGCCCCACCCGTCGGGGAAGGAGGAGGGGACAGGAAGATGAGGGCCCGGAGCTCCCTCACCCAGAGCCTCCCTCCTCCAGCCATGACTGCAACGGCCACATCCCCTGCCTGGGAATGAGGGGTACTTCCCCCCCCCCCCGGCCCCCCCCCCCCCCAGCCATGACGGCAACGGCCACATCCCCTGCCTGGGAATGAGGGGTACTTCTCGGCCTGGATGACACCGTGAGCTTTGACAATCTCACTCTCAGAGTTTGGAGCCAGCTGGGCTGGGGTCTGGCAGCACACAGGCTGAGGGGCACGGGGAGAAGACAGACACTCACACAGTGCACGGCTGCTGGGGCTCCAGGTCCAGGCCCTCCCTGAAGCCCGCTCAGGAACCCAGCGATAACACTTACCTGAAGAGCTTAACTTGTACTTATAAATGACTCAGGGCCATCACCCTCATTTCACTGAATGACAGCAATGCAAGCATTTAGCTGGAAAGAGATGGCGTCTTACCCGTCTATTGAGGGCAGTCTTGCTACCGAGTTTCGTCATCTCTCCAAGACTGTTCTGTGAAACTCTCCGGTCAGCGTCTTCCTGTATCCCTTAAAGAATTTATAAAGAGAACACCATTGGCTCTGAAATTCGGTAGTTAGTGATATTTAAGAGACATGACAGTGAAGCCATGTCTGCTATCTCCCTAGCTTTCCCCCTCCCTCTCTCTGATTAAATAAGTAAATAACAGATAAAGAGACAAGAAATACCAGTAATAGTTTTCAAGGTAAAAAGTGAATTGACATAAAAAACTCTAAAACAAGGGCCAGCAGTGGCAAAGTGGTTAAAGTGCTGGACTTCCACATGGCTGACAGTAATTCGAGTCCCAGACCAGTGGCTAGAAATCCACCAGGTGTGTGTGTGTGCCCAAAATCATGAAAGGAGAAGGAAGGAGGACTGCAGCATGGCCATCCCTCCAAACCCTCCTGGGAGGTAATTTCTCACTTTCCCTCTCTCTGTCTCTCCTAGGCAAGTGCACATGACCTATGGCAAAAATCTAAACAAACAAACAAACAAACAAACAAAACAAAACACTACAGAAGGACTTTAAAGCCAAAGCATTTCAGGAGCTGGACCTTTACCTGCAGGGTCTGAGCACGGGATGTCTCCGTTGGTGGTTGAAGTTACAAGAAACTTTCTGGCATTGCTCAGCCCACGACTGTTCAGGAACACAGGCAAGTGGACGATATTGCGCATGTAGTCATGGCCGTTTATGTTCGAGTCCCGAAGTACGCTGTTGAGGTTCTGGTTGATGGCCTTTATAATAATGTGTGGATCACTTGCAAAAATGGCGATGAACGGGCCTTTTGAAAACAGAACTCGGACCTGTGGCGCACAAAATGTGCAGCTGTGATGTCAATTTGAAACTCTCCACACAGCGCTACGTCCTTCCAAAGTGCATGCTATCCTTGGTGACTATTTTTTTGAAAGAGCTTTTTCCATCAAAATGTGTGCTACATGAAGACAAATTTTATCAGTGGCTCAACTGGGGGTTGCCACTATCAGACAACAATTACAGCTGCAAAAGCAAACAATTAATCCTGTTCCACTTTAAGACACTATGGGCCTCGAAGGAGGTAAGGGACTACATGAGAAATCCTCGCAAACGCGCCCAGTGCTGGGCACCCTCTCAGCTCCGCCCACTGGAACCGTTACTCTTATGTGTCGGACAGAGCCTGGCGTGCCCCACCGTCATGCACTATGAGCCTATGGCTTCCTACACGTCTCAGGCCCTAGCTATCGCCACCCACAGAGGAAGGGTGGGGCCACTCCAGGGAACGAGAGGGTGCAGCACGTGCCTTCCCTCACATGCTGTCAGCCTACGAGTACTTAAACATCACTCCTGCTGCGCTTTCGTGTAAGGAATGGTCATTTCTACAAAAGAAGAGCAAGTGCTCCTCAGTGAGAAGCAGTCTCCATTCCACTCGGGCTGGTCTGTGCAGGGGTGCGGCAGCCGCCACAGTGGCGAGGACCGGGGTCGGGGCGATCGAACGTACGGTGTCCAGCATCTGGAGGACCTTGTCCTGCTCACAGGCGTCGAGCCCGTCGATGATCACCACCAGCCTCGTCTGGTTCTGCGTGAAGCTATCGATGGTTTTTGCCATCCTGGCCATCAACTCCACCTCGCACTTCAGGACCTGCACAGCAGGAAGCACAGACAGCTCAGAGGGCATGGGAGGTCCACACGTTCAGACAGAAGCACGAGCGGAACCATCCAATGTGGGAAGACAAGAACCCAAAATCCGGGCTGCCCGTGGTGATGCACCCGGCCATCAGTCTGTGAAGAGCACCCCGCCTCGGTGACATCCCTCTCAAAAGGAGGAACCAGGCGGAGGGCCTCGCTCAGCAGATCACAGGCCAGGCTCTGGATGGCCAAGTGCTCAGACCTGAATGTGAAGCACCACACACTGCTGACTCCCTGACGGCATCGGAACTTGGCCAAAGCAGCAGACTATGGGCCAGCTAGGGGTTACAGCAGCTGGATCCTACATGGTGGACAGCACAGTTCGAGTCCCTGACCTGGCAGCTCAAAAAACAAGCCAACACACGTACATGCATGCCCAAAATCCTAACAGGAGAGAGGAGGACAAGGGGCCGCAGTGCGGTGGTCCCCCCGGGAGGTGATTTCTCACTTTCCCTCCCTCTCTCTCTATCTCTCTGGCAAGTCCATGTGCCCTATAACAAAAACTAAAACAGATCTGTTTACTCTAGAGAAATCTGTATTGTTAAGTGGGAGGGAAGGATTGGTATGATTTAGTTTTTTTTCCTTTTTTTTTTTGGAGAGGTTTTTGCTATAGGGCACGTGCATCCACCAGACAGATAGAGACAGAGATAGAAAGTGAGAAATCACCTACCCCCCAGGGGGGATGGCCATGCCGCAATTCCTTCTCCTCCATTCTCCTCTCAGGATCTTGGGCGCACACGTACCCGGCGTGAGTTTTAAACCACTGGGTCCCAGACTCGAACCGCAGTCAACCACATGTGAGTCCAGTGACATAGCCATTACACTAACTGCTGGTCCCCGGTATGATTTAGTTATTATTCACACTACCTGTGAAGAAGTATAGTAGCATTTGAGAGTGGGCTTGAATTCCAAGTGTACATTGCCAAGTCTAAGGTAACCACTAAAAACAATGTAATTGGGCCAGCAGGTGACATGGTGGTTAAGGCACTGGACCCTCACACGGCCGACTATGGCTCAAGTCCCAGACCTGGAGGCTTGCTTTCTCACTTTCTCTCTCTCTTTCTGTGTCTCTCTTTGCTGAGCACACATGTCCTGTAGCAAATTCTAAAAATAATAATGACAAATAAAATTAAATAAATAATTCTTTAAAAAAAATGTATGCCCGCTAAGCTAAGAAAGAAGAAAAAATAAAATTATATATAACGAAATGTTCAGTTAGGGGCCAGATGATGGTATAGTGGTAGCATACCACATTCTTTTTTTTTTTTTTTTTGAGAGAGAGATTTTTGCTATAGGGCTCATGTGCTCGCTGGAGTCAGAGAGAGACAGAGACAAAAAGGTGTGTAGCCATGTAGCCATCCCCCCAGGGCAGGGGAGAGGGGGTGATTTCTTGCTTTCTGTCTCTCTGTCAAGCACATAAGCCCTACAGAAAAAATCTCTCAAAAAAAAAGAAAAAAAAAAAAGCTTGACTAAATAAACAAACAGGGCCGGCCCTATGGCCTAGTGATTAGGGGAGCTGGATCTCAATAGCTAACTGTGTAGTGGAGCCCCAGACCTGGTGGCTTAGAAAACACACTGGGTGCGTGTGCATCCTGGCAGGATGGAGAAACAGGAGAAGGTCTGTGGCGTCCCTGGCTCGCTGGAGGGCACTTCCACTCCTCCTCTCTGGCTCTCTGACAAAATGAAACAAATTAACTAACTAACTAAACTATGAAAAACGTTAACAGAGCGCACACTGCCAAAAGCCGAAAGCCAAAAGGACTGCTTGTTCACCTTACGATCTCCCCACTGACCAGCATGTGCTTACTTTCATGAACCCTTCACTTTTCAGCTTGTGCAGCTTGGAGGCGGCATTATGAAGGCGTTTCCTCTGAGAATTCAGGAGCGAGTCCAGCACTTGCCACCACGTCCGACAGTTCAGCACGAAGGCCAGTCCCACCACAGACGCGATGGCTATGAGCACGGCGTTCACCGTCAGGTGCTTTGGGTCAACTCTGAATATGGCCAGAAGAGTGATTCCAGCGATGACGCAGCCGATGACGAAGAGAAAGATGACAAAGGATGGGAGGCAGCAAGTTTTCTTCCATTTCTTTTTACCTAAAGTACAACATAAAAGGAAAGCATAAAACAAAATTCTAATAGAGGGAAATATTTTTACGTGTTTAAAAATTTTATGTACTTATTTATTTTTATTTGCTATAGGGCACATGTGCTTACCAGGGAGAGACAGAGAGGGAAAGTGAGAAAGCAAGTCACCAGGTCCAGGACTCGAAATTCGGCATCTCAATCACCACCCACCGGCCAGCCCCAGTACCGTTACATTTTAACAATCAGTAACAATATGTGGAAAGTCCGAATCATTACACTCACAACATGCGAGGACTCTGATGTACAAGTCATGTTTTCATGAAAACTAACTGAACATCCGTCCCACCTTCAACCCCTTCATACACACACAAAGAAAAAGGAGGAGGAGAAAATCCTACCCTGGGTATCTTCAGTCTTGAATACTCGAAAAAGCCTGGTAGCCAAAAAGCCAAACTCCCTTTCACAAGCATCTGAGAGGGTGGCTATCATTTCAGCCAGCGAGGTCTCTCCGCCTACGCTCGACAGCCTGTTGTAATCGGTGAACAAAAACCTGGAAGAAAAGACGAAGAAACGGCTCAGAACAGAAGGCAGCTGAGAGCTCCCGCCCATGTCATCTTTGTATCGCTTACTCGACATCTTCTTTTTGATGTTTTCAAAATTCTGAAGAGGGAAAAGAACTTGTGATTAGGTATTTTCCACTTCTAACATCTTACCTACTTTTCTGAGGAAAGACCAATAACAAAAGTTAACTGTAGCTAGGACCAGCCAATGGTATAGTGGTTATGTCGCTGGACTCCCAGATGGCCGCCTGCGGTTAGAATCCAGGACTCGCAGGCTTGAAACTCACGCTGGACACATGTGAGCATGCCCAAGATCCAGAGAATGGAGAAGAAGGGACTGTGGCACGGCCATCCTCCCTGGGGGCTGATTTCTCGCCTATCTCTGTCTCTCTGGCAAGCGCACACACTATAACAAAAATCTCTCTAAAAGAAGAAGTTAAATGTAGCAGACTGGGGCCAGCAGGTGGTGAAGCAGTTACTTTGCTGGATTCCCACAGGGCTGAGCTGGTTGAGTCCCAGACCCAGGGCTGGTTAACTCACACCGGGAGGGGGTATGTGAACCCAGAAGAATGGAGGAGGAGGGATTGTGGTGTGGCCATCCCCCCTGGGAGGGGAGTTCTTACTTTCTCCTCTGTCTCTGCCTCTCTCAGTCCTGTGAACACATGCACCCTAAGGCCAAAACCTCCCCCCCAAAAAGGTAACAGAGTTACGTGAAATTAAATTCTGACTAAGGGCGGAAGGGAAAAAAGAAGTTATGACAGAGTTTAGACAAGGAATATGAGACACTCTGACAGACTGCATAAGTGTTACCCCACGTAGGGGTGTAACCAAAGACAGATGAACAAAGGAAGTTTTCTAACACCAATGAAAGAGATTAAAGCCTCAAGAAAACATTAACAGTCTAAGAATTTCAAGCCCAGGCTAGCAGGTAGCATGGTGGTTAAGGTGCTAGACTCCCATACAGCCAACCATGGTTCGAGTCATGGACCTGGAGGCTTGATTTTTCACTTTCCCTCCCTCCCTCTCTCTCTCTCTCTCTCTCTTCTCTCTTCTCTCTCTCTCTTTTTGGTGAGCGCACATGCCCTGTAGCAAATTTATAAAATAATAACAATGATGCTGATAAATAAAATTTTAAAAGTAATTCTTAAAAAAAATATTTCAAGCCCCACAATGATATTTAAAAGCTCAAGTTTTAGAATATCTGAATTCATTCACAGCTTCAACATCTACCAAGGAACCGGGAATAGTAAAATAGTCTTTTCCAGTTGTTCTTCAAAATAATTGCATTATTTGTAGTTTGATTCTCTGAATGGACATTATTATTCAGGCATTAAGCCCTCTCTCCTCCCCTGCCTTTAAATTAAACTCTCAGCTCAATCCAACAGATAAGCACTGCTTTCAGAATACAATCTGGATTATGTTGTACTATATTGTGTGATCTCGACCGATGCTATTTTAATTTTTCTAACTTTTTAATACCATTATCTCTTAATTTAGAGTGTTCTTATTTCTGTAAAAGTATTTCCCTCCCTTAGAATTTGTTGTATCTTATGCTTTCTTTTTAATGTTTTGATTTTTCAAATTTCGCTATAGGGCATGTGCAATCAACATAGACAAGAAGAGTGGGCAGGTGATGGGAACCAGCAGTTAGCGTAATGGCTATGTCACTGGACTCCCACGTAGTTGACTGTGGTTCGCGTCCCGGACCCAGTGGCTTAAAACTCACGCCGGGTGCGTGTGCGTGTGTGCCCAAGATCCCAAGAGGAGAATGGAGGAGAAGCGATTGCGGCGTGACCATCCCCCCTGGGGGGTGATTTCTCACTTTCTGTCTCTATGTCTCTCTCTGTCTGTCTGGCAAGCACACGCACCCTATAGCAAAAATCTCTCCAAAAAAAAAAAGAGTGGGCAGGTGAGAGAGTGACCCCAGGGGAAGGCCACACCACGATGTGTTCTCCTTCATTCTCCTGAGACTGGGAGTGCATACCCCTACTCACCCAGCATGCTTCTCAATCCAGAAAGTCCAGGATTAGAACTCCAGTCACCTCAGCCACCATGCTACCAATTACCCTAACTTTTTCATTTTTAAATATCTTTATTAATACTTAATCCTATATGCGAATTACTTGTAAGCTTTTACCTTTATTTTCCTCTCTTACACTCACAGTTTTAATATCTTGTCTGGTTTGGCCTATTTATTCTCATCTTAAACTACATATATTTAATCTTATAATAATTCAACATTCTTTAATCTTCTAACAAACTTTTAATCCTCTTGCTAATTTCTGCTCGTTTTTTGCTTTTAACTTTCTAACCTCTTTCTGTTTATTACTTTCTTCTGGAGCCCTCTACCTTTCTTTCCATTATTTCTTGACTTAAGTGTTTTTCATCTTTTGAATTTTTCAAAAATTACCTATTTGATATGAATAACAACTTTAGATGGCCACAGGACTGTCCTTCCCAGGAGGGGGAAGAGCAGCTCGGGGAAGTGGCAGTCTCCTGAGGTCCCACGCTCTGTAGGAGGCACCAGGTCTCCCCTGCAGAGCTCCCGGGGGACCCAGGCTGGTACGGCATCTTCCTCCCCAATCCAGAGCTCTTCCCAAAGGATGGTAATGAGTAACAGGCAGGGGAAGGGTTTATGCTTTTGGTATAAACCTTGCAGTAAATCAAATTAAACAGCTTTCTTTCTTTTTTTTTTTTAGAGAGAGATTTTTGCTATAGGACACATGCGCTCGCCAGAGAGAAGAGACAGAAAGTGAGAAATCACTCTCCAGAGGGATGGTCACGGCAATCCCTTCTTCTCCACTCTCTTCCCAGGATTTTGGGCACGTATACACATGTACTAGGTGTGAGTTCCAAGCCTCCAGGTCTGGACTACCATGGTCGGCTATGTGGGAGTCCAGCGACACAACCACTGCATCATCTCCTGGTCCCGAAACAGCTTTCATTACGGAGAGGTGTCTCTGATCCTCTACTACATAAGAGGGAGACAATATGTAGGGTTTCCGAAACCCACGTGGCCAGGGCAGATTTAAATTGTGTATGTGTGTTTCAAGGAATCAGTGTTCTCTGGAACATATATTGAGAAATGGTACATTATAAACTTTGAATGAAACCAGAAGTCTTGCTCCAGCTTAGTCAAGGCCACTGTCAGGGGACCTACTCACCTCACAGGCAGGGCTTTAGTGGTCTGCTCCGGCAACTCGGGCGGGTTCACGAACATCAGTTTGAGGAGGAGCTCCAAGTACCCGATGTGCCTCGCCAGTCTAGTGCTGAGGACCCAGGCCCAGTTCCAACTCTCTCCTTCCCTCCGTCCACCAAAGTAGATGACAACTGAAATTCAGTGTTAAAAATGATCTAAAACAAGCATTACTTATTTGCTCCAAACAGTCAAGTATCAAGCGAAGCCTATGTAATTTTTACAGTCCCATGCTACTTCCTAACTAATCCTTAAAGAACTCACTTAACCTTTCTCATACACACGAGGAATGTGAAAACAGAAAGTAAACTTTGTCTCCTTGTCTCCTTTCTTAACACTGAAGACATACCCACAAACAAGGATTATAACGTATCTTTTTACTTTGCTTTCAGATAAAACAAAAATTACAGTCATGGTCAAAATGCTCCAGAGTGGGCCAATGACAACTACAAAGCTTTCTTTTCAGACAAACACGTAAATATTAGAAGTCACTGGGCCAGCCTTGTGGCCTAATAGTAAGGGAACTGGTGCCCACACAGCCAGTCACACTTGGAATCCCAGGCCTGGCAGTGTGACAGACGAGCTGGATGCATGTGCACGTGTGCCCTAAATTCCAACAGGATGGAGAAACGGAAGAGACTGTGGCGTGACCATGCCCTGCTGGGGGACACTTTCTCTCCTTCACCCCATGTCTCTCTGGCAGATACATGCACCCTCTGGCAAATTAAATGAGTCACTAATTAATACACAAAAGGTAAATATTGAGTTGTCAGGAAAGTCATGATGTATTTTTCCATGTTTCTATGCAAAAATGCATCGTGACTTTTCTAATGACCAATATAACAGAGAGTCCTGCTTTACCGTTACAAGCAGTGCACTAGTTTTAGAAGCTACTCCAGCCAAGTTGTCAGCAATGTTTCTTTAGACGAATTTATGAAATAGCAGAAAAGTCCAATTTTCTCTTCCAATTGTGAAAAGCTCCCATAGGTTTTAAGAGACAGGTATGGGGGCTGACAGGTGATATGGTGGTCAGAGGCACTGGAGTCCCACGTGGTTGACCGTGGTTTGAGTCCCAGGCCTGGAGACTTGGTTTTCCGTTTCTCTCTCAGTGGTCAAATTTAAAAGATAGTAATAAGGGACCAGCAGATGGCGTAGCAACTATGTTGCTGGACTCCCACATGACGACCATGGTTTGAGTCCTGGACATGCCAGGCATGTGTGCATCCATGCCCAAGATCCTGGGAGGAAAATGGAGAAGGGATTGGGGCATGGCTATCCCTCCTCGGGGGTGATTTCTTCCTTTCCCTCTCACTATCTCTGTCTCTGCTCACTCTCGCGCTCTCTCTCTCTCTCTCTATCTCTCTCTCTCTCTCTCTGGCAAGTACACATATCAGAAGGCAAAAACCTCTAAAAAGAAAAAAGGAATAATACTAACAAAATTAAATAAAGTAATTCTTAAAAAAAAACAAAAGGACAGCTATAGATCACAATTTAAGTAAAACAGCAAGTCCGGACACTTTTCCCTGTTGAAAAGGGTAGACTTACTGAAGAATATGTACAGAAGCGCCAGGAAGCTCAGCGACACAGCTACGCCCAGGTTCAGGTCGACCGTAAACGCGCAGAGCAGGCCCAGTGCCCCACACAGCAGCAGAGTGAGGAGCACTATGAGCCACGAGAACTGGAAGAGAGGCTCGATCTGCTGTCCTGCGAAAGTCTTCATTTCATCTGAAAGGCAAGTCAACACGAAACCTTATTCCTGTTCTAAGAAATAGAATTTTGAACTCCATTTGCAACATTCACATGTTCAGTATGGACATTGATTGGGACTTATAAGTCCTTAGACAGGATCTTGATACTTTGCATTTTAATCAGTATTCTCTTTTGACCAACATTTAAAAAAAAAAATGCATTCCACAGGGGTACACCTACCCAGCTCTCCCACTCTCCTGCTTCACGGAGAGGGTACACAAAATCCTTTTTCCCTCAATCTACCTAGATTTTGTTGGTAATTGTTTTTTGTGGGTTTTGTATTATATAAGCAACGAGGTATTATTTCCTTGTGCAAAAATAAAAATAACACTCTATAGGCTTCACCTACGTATCAGCACGTTCCTCTCTGATCATCCTCACTTTTTTCCCTCCACTCACATTCAGGAATCTGTTCTCAGGCTGACCCCGGAGCCAGATCCCACATAGCCCAACCATGGTTTCAATCCCAGCCCTGGCGGCTTGAAAAATACTTGGGTGCATGTGTATGTGTGTGCCCCAGATCTTGAAGGGATGGAGAAATGGAGGAGGAAGACTGGAGAGGTGCTTGCACTCTCCCTCTGGCGAGTGCACGTACCTAAAAAAAAAAAAAAAAAAAAAAAAAAAAAAAAAAGGCGGAATGAACCTGTTCTCAGAGGCAGGCACTGAGCCCAAACAGACCCCACACAAGTCGTTCTTTCTAAATAAGGTGGAGAAATTCTTATAGGCAAAGCTGAAACTGGCCCCAGAGATTAAGAACTGCCATGGGGTCAACAGGTGGTGTGGTGGTTAAGGCACTCCTCCATGGCTGAATGCAGTTCAAGTCCTGCACCTGGTAGTTTGCTTTCTCACTTTCCCTCTTTCTCTCTGTGTCTCTGGTGAATGCATGTGACCTGTATTGAATTTTTAAATATAATACTAATAATTATAAATAAAATTAAATAATTCCTATTTAAAATTTAAAAAGATTTTGTCATGCAGAAGGTGTAGATGTTGGGGGGAGGTGGGAGCCGAGCTGCCTTGGCAGCTCCTGACAGAGGAAATGACTCAGAATTGTCTGGTCTGCTCTGGGAGCATGGCCAGTCCTTGTGGCTGCAGCCACATATGGGTGGTGCTGGCAGGGGGGAGGGGCACATGACCTGCTGGGTCTGTGCAGCACCCGGGAAACCCGTCATCATGCAGCTCAACCGTGTTAGAGAGAGGCATGAATGGGGGCCAGCAGCTGGCATAGAGGTTATGTAGCTGGACTCTCACAAGGCCAATCATGGATCAAATCCCAGACCCTATGGCTTGAAACTCATGCTGGCACGTGTGTGTGTGTGTGTGTGCGTGCAGGATCCCAAGAATGGAGGACAGGGGACCGCAGCATGGCCATCCCCCCAGGGGGTGATTTCTCACTTTTCCTCTCACTGTCTTTGTCTCTGTCTCTAGCGACCGCACACACCCTAAGGCAAAAAAAAAAAAAAAAAAACACTTAAAAAAAAAAAAAAGGCTCAAATGATCAAGTGAAGGATCATCTAAACAGGACAAAACCCAAACCCAGCGGCTCCATTAAACCATGTTACATACCTACTGTAAAGCGTTAAGCATATCCCTTACAGTAAGCCATGTTACACGCGCACCCACACATAAAGCTTTATTTTCTCCACTTCAGAGAAGCAGAGCGCCCTGCTACACACCGACTGCTCACGCACGCCTTTACCTTCGAGCTTCTTGAGCAGGAAGGACTTCCCGCTTCCCCACTGTGCGTACAGCCCCACGCAAATGGGCGGCTGCATGGTGGGCTCGCTGAGGATGTCCGCCAGGGCGCTGCTGTACAGGTCGTAGCCCAGCATGTCGCCGTCCGTTTCGGTCGGAGACAAGTGTCCTGGGGAGAGACAGGCCACAGCTTCCTTAACCAGAGGCGTTACTACGAGAAGGGACACACATCCTCGTTTGCTAAGTATTTATTTAGAGGAAAAAAATTATTTTCCATCATGAGTCCTTCTTTACATATGACTGGCATGTATCTCTGTGAACTTGAGTTTGTTTTCTTTTTTTGAATTTTAAAAAAATCTATTGTAATTTATGACTTACATCATTATACATCTTAGCGAGTACGGTGTGGTGTTTCAAAGCACGCATGCCATGTGTGATAATCAATATCAGCGTATATACATGGCATATATTAAGGATATAAACATATTCTCCATTTAACAAAGATTGCTATTACGTGCATATTTAATACTCCTTCTACCAGTCTCTGTTTCAGGTATGTTAGCTTGGGAATGCCCATGTTTACTCTGTTGTGGGAGTTTCGTCTTTAAGGCATGTATACGGTGTAAAATAACCAATCAAGGATATATCCATACTAGTCTTCTTCAGCATTGACCCTGACATTATGTTGTGCATATTTAGGAAAAAGCTTATTTAAAATGTAAAAATAGATTAAGAGGGACCAGCAAGTGGCGTGGTGGTTAAGGTGGCTGGGTGCCACGTGGCCGACTCGGCAACTTGAATCCTGGAGCCAGCAGCTTGAAAATCACACCAGATGCATATGTGAGCATGCCCAGAATCTCACAAGGAGAATGGAGAAGGGACTGCAGCATGGCCAACCTACTGGGGGGTGATTTCTCACTTTCCCTTTTCTCTCTGTCTCTCTCTCTCTCTCTCTCTCTCTCTCTCTCTGGAGAGCACGAGTGTCCTAGGGGGAAACTGATGTACAAAACTCACAATACAATAGAATTACACTTTAAAGCAAGGTACAAAAAGCTGAACTAGGTTTAGGATGCTACTCTCTCCTATTGGTTTCTGGGACTAACATATTTTTTAATCCTAGCAGAAAACTGTTATACAGTTCAAAACACCACATATGAATGATTACATTCTCATGTGCATTCTTTTTCATCAAAACCTACTTTAGCACAAGAGTCAGACCCGTAGCGCAATGGCTAGACTACTTAGAGGAAGCAGATCCCACAAGGCCAGCTGGGGCTCACGTCTAGACCCCTGCATGCCGGCTTATGTGCCGTACCCAGGACCTTGTGAGGATGGAGAATCAGAAGGTGGCAACCCGCATGACCGACCCCACCGGGACTGTGCGCTCTCTCCTGCGCTCTCTCTTCTGCTCGCTCTCTCTCTCCCTCATGCACGCATACACATGCTCTGGCACTGAAAAAGTAAAACAGAGGCCAGGCCCACAGTGCAGCGGTTAGGACCATGGATAAAGGAAGCTAGATGCCTCATCACCAACTGAGGTCAAGTCCTGGCCTGGAAGGCTCGAAAAACACACAGGGCACACGCGCAGGTGCCCAGGATCGTGAGGGGATGAACCGTAGGAAAAAGGATTTCAACCTGACCAGACTCACCACGGGGGGGTCTCTCTCTCTCTCTTCACCCCCATCTCTCCCTCAGGCCCTTACACATGCTCCACCTCTTGGTATTAAAATAGAAAAACAAAACTATTTTAGTACAATATTCAAGGCATTATGCTAGATGTTACAGAGGACATGAAGATAAAAATAAATAGTCCCAGCCCTGAAAAACTTGGAATTTCTAAAGGAGAAAATTCTAAGAAGCCAGCCATACCACAGACAGAAAAGGAAACATAAACACAGAAGTATTCAAATGAGGCAAAAATGTCATCTGGTTTGTCATGTCCCACAGCACGTCGTGTCACTGAGACGGGGACAGCTGGCGCAGAATGAACCGGGAAGGAGAGAGATGACTTTAAAGGTAAAGAACATCCGTGGGGGTGGAGGTGAGCACACCACCAGAGTAGATGCTCCACACTGCCGCTGCTCCATCACGTTCAGAAAACAAAGCGTGTTGGGCCAGCAGGTGACCTGGTGGTTAAGGTGCTGGATTCCCACATGGCCAGCAAGTCCTGGAACGTGTGGCTTGAACATCACAACAAATAAACAGATAAACACATGAATAATTATTTTTTAAAAAACTGTTTTGATAAAACACAAAGTAAGCCCAGATGCACGCTGGGGAAAAGACTTTCAGAAAAGTAGGCTAGATTCCTGGCGGTCTTACAAGTTGACGGATAGCTATTTCGGAATGCTACAAAACAGCGCAGAGGATTTTAGCTAGGCGGACTGTTTTCACAGTTAAATAGTAACTTTCTCAACATTTACATTCTCCAGTGAGGTGACGGAAGCAAACGTGCTTAAAGTGGTCTCTTTCAGGTCTATTTACGACACAGCGTTACAGAAGAGCTCCGCCAGGAGCAGGGCCCCCCACTCACTGGCTCCGAATATCTGCGTCAGGATGCTCTTCTGGTGGCCGCAGTCGATGTTGTACGGCGTCTCGCCGGCCTTGTTGGGCCTATAGAGCAGGCGTCCGTCCTTGGGGTTCCTCAGGAGCAGCTCTGCCAGCCTCCGACTCCGGCCGCGGATAGCGATGTGCAGGGGAGTGTCTCCCTTCTGTAAGACACAGGACAGCTTCAGAATGGGGCAGACAGCTAGCCTGGACTTCTGTTTTCACACAGTAGAGACATAATGTGGATTTTACCTCTGCCTCCCCCACAATTCCTCTTTCTAGCTCCTCACCCCCATCTTCTCAGATACGTTCTCCCATGGCCGAGAGCGAAGGGCCCCCGGCCCCTTCCCTCAGCTCAGGGGGAGACATGGCGGTGCTCCTGACACCTCCCCCTGGCTATGGGTCCATGTCATTAGTGTCTCTGTCCAGACTCTTGCCGGCCAGAGGTGTTAACAGCCCTTGCCAGCTCACTTTTCTGCTACGTCAAGGCTCTCTCCTGCATCTGTCCAGAAAACTTGGCAGCATCCCCTCTGACGGGAGTGGAGACGCCGGCTGGTACCTATGCCTGTGGGCCCAAAATCTCGATGGGATGGAGGAACAGATGAGGGAGTGCAGTGTGAGCTCACTCCACTGGGGCTACTCTCTCCCTTCCCCTCTCCCCCTGTTTCTCTGTCTCTCTCAGGCAAGTGCACATGCCCTAAAGAAAATACTGAAAAGAAATTTAATTTTATATAAATGGGAGGGTTGTTTTTTGGTTTGTTTTTTAAAAATAATGTTGCTATTTGGTAAAATAAAAACATATTGATTCGGGACAGCAGATGGCATAGCAGTTACATCACTGGACTCCCACATGGCAGACGGCAGTTCGAATATTTTACCTCCTGTTCATGAGTATTAATGCCAGTCTGCTTTGAGAGTCTATGTTCTCTTTTTTCCAATGCCAGAGGGCATGAGTGCATGCCAGCAAGAAGGAAAAAGGACGCCCCCCTCATAGGCCTGGTCATGCCACAATCTTTCTCTTTTCTCCATCCTTTGCGTTCCGTGTGCAGTAGCCAGGCTGGGATTAGAACCACAGTCGGCCCCAGGGGCCTCGGCGCCCTCGGCACAGCACCTGGCCACTGTGTACAGGGCCAGCCTCACCCTTGCCAGTCTTCCCTTCTGTCACCTGCTCCCTGATCACGGCCGCCTGTGCAGTGGTCCATGGCCACTCCCCATGACCACGGGCCGTGGGAGAAAACCCAGCAGAGCCTCGATGGCAGCACAGCGGGCCTACCCAGTCCTCAGACCACCCGTGGAGGAAGAGCGAAACCCCCGGAGCCCAGCGCATGCTCTCTCCCTGCACAAAGTAAAATCGGATCCCCAGTAAGTCTGCCTGGTACACAGGCCACTCTCCCAAGGCCTTCCAGCAGCTCCTCGTTGCACAGAAGTTCACCTTATCCACAGCAGACACCTTGGCTCCTTTATCGAGCAGCAGCTCGACCACTTCGATGTTCCTCATCTTGGTAGCCTTTATCAGCGGCGTCTCACCATCCTGTGGGCAGGTAAGGTGTGCCAGGTCAACCGCTTTACTTCTGAGTGTTTAGAGCATGCGATGCACAGGTCAAGAAATATCCAGCCCTAGGAACACTACTTAATATGTTCTCAAGAAACAGAGCTTTAAAACTTACACAAAAAGTGCTTTTCCTTTCACAAGCACTCGGCTGCAGCAGAATACCACCAGGTAGCTGGGAGCAGGACATGCCCCACCTGCTCATGAACTGCACCCGTCCATGGCGACTGCGCCTGCCCATCCCCGGGCTCACCGCCAGCCTCGGGGCAGCCCCTCCAGAGCCCACTGCCTGTCTTCCCAACTCCCCACCAACCGACCCACAGCCCCGCCTGTCAGTCCAGGCAGGCCGCTGTCTCAGAGTCTTTCAGAAATGTATGCCAGCATTGCTCCAGCTCTCTGTGAGCCCAAGGACTCGTGTATCACAGGGAAGCCACTGGAGAGCAGTGTTCCTTCGGGGAAAACCCCAAGAGTTCACATTGCGGGGCCAGCAGGTGGCGTGGAGGTTCAGGCACTAGACTCCCACATACTGACCACGATTCAAGTCCTGGACCTGTGGCCTGCTTTCTCACTTCCCTTTTCTCCCTGTCTCTCTCTGGTCAAAATTTTAAAATAATAATAATAAATAAAATAAAAATAATTCTAAAAAAAAGTTCACAATTGCTTTCAAAATCAAATGAGGGTTGAGGCCAGCAGATGGCATAGCAGTTACATCACTGGACTCCCACAAAGCCAACTGTGGTTCAAGGCCCGGGCCTAGTCACACTGGACTCACATGCATGCGTGCCCAAGGGACTACAGAGTGGTCAGGCCCTCTCACTGTCTGTGTGTGTGCGTGTGTGTGTGTGTGTCTCTAGTGAGCACGCTAAGGCAAAAATCTCTTAAAAATAAATCAAATGAAAGGAAACGAAGAGCCCACAATTTGGCCCTGAGTCAGAGAAAGCAAAACCTGCTCAGAGCCACAGGCAGTCATAGCACAGCTGGCTGACACAGGGGTCGGAGAGAAAAAGAAAAAGAAAAAGGGAGCCCGAAGAGCCAGCAGACCGACAGCTCTCCCTGGAAACGTTCTGTCCAGAGCCCTGGAGGTGCCACTACCGACCCAGGGACGCGCAGACCGGCGCTCCAGTGGACGAAGTCAGACGGCCTCAGGGGCAACTCCAAAATTTGTACTTCACTTACCAACAAATCCTGCCATTTCAATGCAGAATTACGAACTTATTTTCCGCACAGAAAACTATTCCACAGAAGACTATGCCATCCTCAAAGGCTTAGTTTTGTATTTCTCATACAATTTGAGAAACACAGGCTAGGGCGGCTGGGCTGGGGAAACAAGGGCTCACAAGGGTCTTTACAAGGAAGCAGGTTGTGCACAGCAGACAGGAACACGGAGAATGCGGGAGAGACCTGCCCACAGCTCATGAACAGCTGCCGTGGCACTTCCTGGAAAGTGTCTCACTGAAGTAACCATTTATACGCTATATGTTGCTATAAACACAACTCCGGCAATACTTCAAATTACTCAATTCAATACAGAACGTTGCCGGTAAAATCAACACAACTCTAACGTTAGACAAAGACTACTGACAAGATAAGCAGTAGGAACACCCAGCGCGAGGTGTCATTAACAGGATAGAAGGGCTGCTGGAAGGCTGTCCTACCTTTGTGCATATTTCCGTGTCGGGATTGCACTGTAAGATATCTCTCACCATGGTTGCATTTCCTTTCTCAACCGCCCAATACAAAGCAGTTTTATTATCCTAAGGAAATAAGTCAACAATCACTTGGTATGCTATTAAAAACTTACTTGTAAACAAAACATTAACACTCCTGCCAAGAAGCATTCCGACAACAGCATGGTGGGAAATAATATCAATCGTTACGCTATCTTGGATTTACTCTTAAGAAATTCATTATGAAAGAAGCCTAAGAATATTTAATAGTACTTGGTTTTCAAAGTAGCAATCCCACATTAGCGAAGCAGACTACACTTACAGAATGAAAACCCACCTCAGTAATATGCATTGGTTTAGAAGTCATCACCATGCGAGCTCAGGAACCGGGACAGGTCTGACCCGTAGATTTTCATGTGCAATATGGAATAAAGGTATCTGCTAAACTCATCAAATGATAATGCTTAGGAATGTACTTCAAAAACATTAGGCATTGGGAACCAGCAGTTAGCGTAATGGCTATGTCGCTGGACTCCCGCGGTTCGCGTCCCAGACCCGGTGGCTTAAAACTCACACCGGGCGCGTGTGCGTGTGTGCCCAAGATCCCGAGAGGAGACTGGAGCAGAAGGGAGTGCGGCGTGACCATTCCCCCTGCGGGGTGATTTCTCGCTTTCTGTCTCTATGTCTCCCTCTCTGTCTGTCTGGCGAGCGCACGAGCCCTATAACGAAAACCTCTCCAAAACAAAAAAAAAACCATGAGGCATTTACCAGTTATAGCTTTCTTAATCTCCGCCCAGACTGCACCCTTGTTTTTTTGTTTTGTTTTGTTTTGTTTTCTTAGAGGTTTTTGCTATAGGGCATGTGTGCTTGCCAAAAAGAAAGAGAGAGACAGAGAGACAGAAGCGAGAAATCACCCCCCAGGGGGGATGGCCACGCCGCAATCCCTTCTCCATTCTCCTCTCGGGATCTTGGGCACGCACCCAGCATGAGTTTAAGTCACCGGGTCCGGGACTCGAACCACGTTGACTACATGGAAGTCCAGTCATATAGCCGTTATGCTCACTGCTGGTCCCTGCACCTTTTTCATTAGATCCTTTAAAATTCTATCAAGCTCGGGGAGAGCAGGTGGCATAGCAGTTACGTTGCTGGACTCCCACATGGCCAACTGTGGTTTGAGTCCCAGACCTGGTGGCTTAAAAATCACAATGGACACATGTGCGTGCGTGCCTCGGATCCTGGGGGGAGAATGGAGGAGAAGGGACTGCAGTGTGGCCATCCCCCCTGGGGGGTGATGTCTCACTTTCCCTCTCACCGTCTCTGTCTCACTCTCTCTCTCCCTGGTAAGCACATGCACCGTAAGGCAACCACCTCTTAAAAGAAAAAAAAAAAAAAAACTATCAAGCTCAAACACCAAAAATCAACCCACACTGATCTTAAAGCAAAAATAGAGAATAAAAAACTGATGAAAGCATAGAAAAACAGAGTTGACAGACACAATGCCGTCAGGTAAAATACTGGATAGCTGGAAAAGCCATGATGTAGTTTTCTGTGTTTTTCTACAACAGTGCATCCTGACTTTTCCGACAACCCAATAGAAACCATCTTTAGTGAAAATATGATTTCAGCCCAAAAGAGAGTAAGTGACTTTAAGCTTCTTCTACAAAAGTGTCCCTAATAGAGGTTCCCTTCTAAAAAACGCACACAAGCTGCCCAGCTTTCTCAGCAGGGAGCTCTGGCCTCTCGGGCCCTACTTCCCTTTTTGCTTTTCGATTTCCCACCCCCTAAGCCCCGACCCTACTGCTAAACCGGTTTATTCATCAGCTACACGATTCAGTCTTCACTGGCCTGTTTCCTCACCATCGCCACACTGTCCTGGCCTAAAATACCCAGCTTCCTTTTCTTTACATCCCTAAATCCAACCCATCTCCAAACCTGGCTCAAATTCTACCTTCTACCAAAAGCCTTCTCCCTTACTACCCTCTTTCCCACCTAAGGACTCTTTTTGTTTCTATATTAGAGAGAGAGAGAGCATGCACAGAAGGGGCAGGGATAGAGAGACTGGAATTTTCGATAAGCACAATCCTCCTGCCCCAGCCTCCCAGTTAGCTAAGACTACAGGCACCTGCCATGACGCCGGGCTGTCCAGACAGAGCAGAGACCTGCACCGAGGCCTCTCCTGTGGCCTCAGCCATGGCATAGAGGCACCTTCCTCCTTACTCCACTAAGCCCAGGCCTCAACACGCTAGTATCTAAACCTTCACTAAGCAACCAATCATACACCATCTTGTGGTTTTTGCTTTCTACATGTATGTAAACACATTAAAAAGAAGCATAAGCAAGCTAAACCCTTCCAAATTAAAATACGTATTTCTTACAGGCAAAGGTCCCATGTAATTCTCCCATGCCGTTCATGGCATTTGGTATGTTTATTAGTTTGATTGGAAAACGAATCTGGATTCTAGAAACTTTTCAATAAGTACAGGAAAAACAGCAGAAGTATAAGCTGTCCAACACGGAAATGGGCTACCGAGAGCTCCTGGGTTGTTACAGAAACTCCCAACTTTGGATGAGGCTTTCCTCTAAAGGTAGTAACTGCAGCTCTGTGAGCGGGGACTGCACTAAGCCAAGCCCACAGGCACTGTTACCCGGTTCTTGGAGAGGCAGGCAGGATGGGGGCGGGGGTAAGACGAGAATGGACGTGCAGCCCGCGGATAAAGAAGGCAAACCAGGGAAACACTGAAGAAAATGAGTACGAGCCAGACGTGCCAAGTGCCACCACCTGTCTCAGTACGCAGACGACTCACTCCAGAAGGAATATACTTAGATGTGGGCAAGAGAGGTGTATCTTAAAAACATGGGATTCTGTTCAGTTTTCTATCTAACTTTACCTTGGCATTAGCACAGAAATTTTACAGTCACCACAGTGACATATCATTTTACAAATCCATTAAACATTCCATTGATCTATGAACAACGCATTGGTTAGGGTGCCAATCTCCCGCCCAATTGAAAATTCATACATAACTTTTGATTCTTCCAAAACTTAACAACTAATCACCTTGTGTGGATCGGACACCTTATTGACAACATAAACAGTCAATTAACACATATTTTATACATTTTATGTATTGGACATGCTGTATTTTTATAATAAAATAAACTAGAGAAAAGAGAATCATAGGGAAGAGGAAAAAATAGATGCCCAGCATTTACTGATACTCTGACTTCTCTTCAGAGTCTATAAATCTTTTGTCTTTCACAGCATTTATTGAAAAAAAAAAATCCACATTGAAGTGGATCTGTGCAGTTCAAAACCATGCTGAGAAAGGGTCACCTTTACTGGGGCTACGAGTTTATTTCCATAGCAGAGTTGAAAGAATAACTAATTCACATATCCACCCGCGTGCTCGAAGACGATAGCTGTGCAGAGAGCACGCACCTGGCCTCTAATGTCTATGTCTGCATACTTCTGGAGAAGGGCTCGAACGATTTCCACATGACCACCTCTGACAGCACCGATCAACACGGTGTCCCCACTCTGAAAAGGTAAAACACGGTCAACAAAGGAGAACAAGAATATACTATTTTAAAGTTAAGGTAAATCACTTATTAGTATAATGAGCTTTTTTCTAAAAATTTCTTAAAAAATAGAGTCTATCTCTAAATTAGAAAAAACTTATAAATTACTAATGTTAATACCTGACGTCAATAGTCCTCACAATAAGGGACAGATGACTGTATGTCTCAAAATGAAGACTACGATTCCATGACAAATATTTAAAAAGACAAAAATCCCTTAAAACAATGCACTATGACAAAACCTTTAGATTCTAAAACAGGATATTATGAAGCTAAAGCCATCAGTGGGTCCACAGCCACATCTAATTAAGGGAGAAGGAGGGTTCCCAAACCAGCACCCCGAATAGCTAGTCAGTTTGCCACATGCAGGTCAGTAATGCTTAAGACTGATGCATTCCCCAGGGTAAGACTTAGGCAAAGCTCACTGAGTCATTAGACATCTCTTCAAAATTATACTCAGCAAGCCACAATCGTTTTAAACTATATCTTCCCACCACTTCAGATCATAGAAATGGCTATTCTGGCAATAGACATAAATATTTTATTTACTGCCAAATTAAAAATTAATTGAACCAGCAGGTAGTGTAGAGGTTATGGTGCTGAATCCCACATTGCCAGCTTCATGGTTCAAGTCTCAGACCTGGAGGCTTGACACCCGTGCCAGTGTGTGTGTATGTGTGCCCCAAATCCCAAGAGTGGCAAAGAGGCCTGACTGTGACATGGCCATTCCCCAGGGGAGTGATTCCTCCTTTCCCTCTCTCTGCCTCTCTCTGACGAACACATGCATCCTACAGCAAAAGCTTAGAAAGAACCAAAACACTTGAAGCCTTTGGGGAAAGAAACGCCCACGAGCTGAGGCTCAGCCCCAAGTGGGCCCCATGTGCTATCAATCAAGAGGCAGGCCCCAAGGGTTATTAACCTCAGCACCTACAGTATCTTAACTACCACATTGAAAGCAGAAATAAACCCAAGGCAGACACGCTCTAGTGGAGACTGTTAACAGGAGTGTAGACTAGTCGATCAATAAAAGGTAACAAATATTTCACTGTTTACTACGGGCCCTGCATCATCTAGGCACTGGGCAACCAATGGTCCCAGCTGTGGAAGGATTCACAGTAGGGCAGAGAAATACAACATACAAAAAGCAAAAAGTCACACAAACGCTGTGCAACCAAATCACAACGCGTACTAGGATGTGACTGGGAGCTATTTCGATCAGGACGTTAGAGAAGACTTTCCCAGCGGGTAACACTGGAACTGAGGTGGGAATGACACGGAGGGCCACCACATGAAGACAGCATTCCAGACTGAGAACACAGCTGGCCCAGCAGCCCCTAGGGAGACTGGTGTGCTCGAGATAGGGGAAGAAGCTAACGTGGCTGCAGCTGATGGGGCCGTGGCACAGAGTGCTTCAGATCCGCCTCCCCCGGAAGACAAATCTGGAATCGGTGACCTACTCTGTCGGGTATGTTCACATATGTCCCAGCATCGAGCAGGTCCTGTACAATCTCTGTATGTCCCTCTTTCGATGCGATCATCAAAGCTGTGTTTCCGTCTTTATCTGTTAAGTTTACATTTGGATTCCTCTTCAGGATTTCTTTGACTGACTGTGTGTAGCCTCCTTTTACTGCCACAATAAGGGCAGTCATTGAATTCTAAAGAAGAAAAAGAGTCCCCCCAAATTAGTATATTCTAGAAAACATGAATCACACCATAATCAGGAAAGTAATGTCTTCAAATAAGTGGTCAATTATTAACAGTTATTCCTGGGCCAGAAGATGACGTGGTGTTTTGAGGCGCTGGACTCAAACATGGCCAACCACAGTTCCAGTCCCAGACCTGGCGGCTTGCTTTCTCACTTTCCCTCTCTGTCTCTCAGTGATAACTACAGCAAGTTCAAAAAAATAATAATAACAATTAATAAAATAATTAATTGTTTTTTAAAAAACAGCCATTTCTAATAATAAAATGTCAATATAAACAACCAGACACATACCAAAAATGACCGAGAGGCATATTTTCAGTTTTTGAAGATAAAACTGATTGTCTTGAGTCACTAAGATTAAGATTCTCTTAAGTCATTAAGATTAAATCATTAACTGATGTTATTCAGCTCTTCAAAGGATAACCACAACTTGAATGCACACCAACCAACTCTCTTGCTAAGGTAATGAGGTATAAAACAATTGGCAGGATGACTCAAAATTAGACACATGCTAAATTAAACAATCTAAGTAAGGTAAATCAAACTTCAAACAAAGAATTCTTTATAATAAAACCCATAGGAAAAACTGAGGTAAAATAATGAACTATTAGCTACAGACTGTTTCAAGAAAAGTGAGCCGAGAGCCAAAATACATACACTGTAATATCACACTAATGCTCTTTCAGTTTTAGCCTTCCCAAACCAACGTGCATTGGTAATAGAGGCTCACAAGCATGCACATACATAATTTAATGTAACTTATCAGGGAAATAGGAAACACTGTTTTCCTCAGTTAATACCTTGTAAGAACTGGAGAGAAATTCTAGGCATATACCAAGGGAAAATACTCTCTCTCTTAAAGCAAAAACGTTCTATTATCAAACATTAAAATACAGAAGATACTTACAGCTCCTTCCTGATCAACATCAGCTCCCATGGCCAGTAAATGTCTTACACATTCCAAGTGCCCCTTTCGTGCAGCCCAAACTAAAGGGGTGGTTCCATACTGAAAAACAAACAATAAATTGAAAATCACTACCATGGGCATACAAAAGCTCTCAGCATGAATTTGTTTTTTTTTAAGTTTGTTATGTGTGCACTGCCCAAAGAGAAAGCAGGGAGAGGGAAAGTGAGAACAGGGGATGATGGCCATGCCACAATCCTTTCTCCTCCATTCTATTCTCAGGATTTGGGGCACAAATACATACATACCTGGCATGATTTTTAAGCCACCAGATTCAGGACTAGAACCATGAAGCTGATCATGTAGGATCAGCTGCCTTAACCTCCACACCACCTGCTGGCCCCATAAACTGACTTAAGTAACTGTATACACCAAACGCAATTTTAATCCTAGGTACATGTGACTTCTCACATTTTCTCTCTTGAATAGATGATTCACCATTGCATGAAATGTCTCTTAACCAACTTTTAACTTTTATAAGCAGTAACAATTTTACTATCAAAAAGTCATACAACCTCAATTTTCAATAAGCTTTCACTGCTTCCCATAACCTACAAAATAAAATGTAAAGTCCAACAGTCATTGGCAAAAAATAGTAACAATCAGTGTCAGCAGTTCTAACTAACCTTATACTGGATGACGCACATGATCCTTAAGATAACAAGTCTGGGCTTTTGACCATTATCTTAAGCCAGCCTCTGTGCATGGCAACCTGAGCCTCAATAACCCCTCCCACACCCTCAGTCTCCTCTTACCCCATCTTCCGTTAGGTCTCCAATTTCAGTCCTTCTGAGTTGAAGTCTTTCCTATCCTAACAAGTTTTTCCAGCAAACTACCCTTTTAAGATAGCCATCACCATCCTTCCTTTCCAATTCAAGATAATGCCAAGTGGTTAATTCCTTAAGAAACCACCTTGAAACCGCTTCTGCTACAAACATCACAAAGTTTCTATGACCAACAGTCACCTGAATCCAGATCTGCAGAGCTTTTACTCAGCTCATTCTTTCCTTCCCCAAAGCTCTGCAGTATTTCTAAACTTTCAATTAATTTGTCACCTTTGGCCTTTGACATCACCAGTCATGTTCTTCTACCTCAAGACACTCGCCACAACGAGCCCTGTGCTCATCGCGGTCCGTCAGCACTGATCTCATTCTCCATCTGTCTTCGCGGCATTTTAAGCATCACCTCCATGCGAGGCCTTCACCACCAGCACCCCGAATCTCCACGTCCATTATCGAGTGGGATACCCTTAGCCACAGCTGCTCCAACACTTCAGAGTCAACCCACCTAAAACCTACCTCGTTTCCCTTCTCTGAAAGGTAGTTCCTACAGAAACCTTGCTACTTGGCAGCAGTAAGGATCTCACGTCTCAATCCACCCCACAATCCATCCCACAGGACACTCCTGGAAGTCGATTTTTCTAACATACCACTTTGTGCTTACCTACAACTCAACCCCCCACTGATTTTGTAGTGTCTACGGGATAGATGTCTACTCTCCTGCCAGGAAGGTCAGGCCAACCTGATGGCAGCTCCATAAAGGGCCACAGCTGCCCCCCACCCCTTCACCTGTCCTCATGGCTCAGCTCAGCTCTGCCCACATGTGTCTGTCCAGACAAACTCACAGCACGGACTCGCACTCGGGGGTTCTTTGCTCTCGTGGCCCCCAATGCCTAGAACTGCCTCTCGTACTGTCCACAGATGTAGCTCTACCCTCACTTTGAGGTCCAGAGGAAGACTCAGCTCTTCTGTCAAGTCTTCCTAGCCCAGTGGCTCTCCACCTTCACACTCCTAAGCCCCTTGTCCTTTGCCTGTGCACTGTTCATGTCCCACATGTCTCTCGCTTCTCTGAACAGAGGTCACGTCTCCCTCCTTTTCTTAACTCCTGTGGTAAGTCCAGGTACAGGCACTGCACACGGAAGGGAGTACACATTTCCTCAAAATGCTAAAGAGTGACAGATTAGGTAGCACAGGACCCGACTCTGGGGGGAGGCCCTGAACGCAAGGCTAAATACTGACATTTTTCTATAGGCCAGAAGAGAAAACAAAGGTTTCTCCCTGATATTAAACTGCCAAATCAAATACACGGGCAGCACTGGATCCATTTAGGTAAACCTCAACCCTCGGGCAGCCAGTATTTTAAGTGCCATGTTGTAATTCAAATATTTGCAACGGTCCTACAGGAAGTGAGCCTAGAAAGAAAAGCAGGCTGAGGCCAAGCTGGGAACCCTGACCCAGTGACAGCATCTCCAAGCTCTCCAAAAGGAAGAATGAAATCCGTAGATCCCTGCCTAAGCACTACTGGGGCGATGGTTAAGGATAAAAAAGATAACCACAATGGCTTTCTGACGGGCTTTCGGGGGGGTGGGGGGGGGGGGACCAAGCAGCTTGGGGTGCGGGGGTGGGGGTGGTGGGGGAGAAAGCAGCTGAGGGGAAGCAGAAGCTACGGCAGTCCGGAGGCACTGAGGGCGCGGCACACCGTGAAAGAGCCTGAGCTCAGGAGCCTGATCGTACTCGGAGGCCAGCGTGCAAGGCAGTTTGGGATACAGTTAGCAGGAGAAAGACAAGGCCTAAATTAATCATTCACACGAGGGATGGTCAGTAGGATTTTAAGCACAAGAGAGAGAATCAAACTTGAATTTTAAAGCGATCATTCTCTTTGAGACCTGCAGACGGCATAACAGTTACATCAGTGACTCCCATATGGCAAACTGCGGTTCAAGTCCCAGACCCAGCAGCCTGAAACTCACACCAAGCATGTGTGTGCGCCTGCCCAAAATCCTGAGAGGAGAACGGAGAAGAGATTATGGCATGGCCATCCCCTCTGGGGGGTGATTTCTCACTTTCTATCTCTCTGTCTCTCTCTATCTTTCTGGCGAGCACACGGGCCCTATAGCAAAAAAACTCTCAGAAAAAAAAGATGATTCTCTCAATGATACAGAGAGAGCAAATACGAATGATGATAGGCAGAAGAGTTACAACAGAAATCTTCAAACCATGAAGACAGGGAATCCAGGATCCCTGCCTAAATGATGAACGTGACATAAAAATCATCGGAAGCACAGTAAGTACACAGCACGTACAAGGGATCCGTGTATGAGATACATAGCCATGTAAAATGCATCAGCATAGTAAACAGTCAGGCAATTAAACGAGCCGCATGAGCTCACACGAAATGCTTGACTGCGACACACGAGCAGAGGTGCCCTGAACCAGAACCTGGAAAGCCCTGCGGCCTACCTTATCGGAGCAGTTGACCTTAGCCCCATTTTGCAAGAGGAGATGCACGATGTCCGCGTGGCCCCTCCCGGCTGCCCAGATGATGGGGTAAACGCTGTACTGCTGGGAGGGACGGGGTGGGAGAGGAGGAGGCAGAGTGCAGGGGGAGAGAGAGAAAAGCTCTTAGTGGATATTCACAACACAACTGCTAAGTAAAGCAAACATCGAAGGGAACAAACCATTCTCTATTTCTGAAACACACAGAATACTCACGAAACATAATCGACAACTAAGACACCTTGACCTTAAACATTTATTATGGACATATGTCTCTGTAGATTTAACACATGTGTGTGATTAGCCAACAGGCATGATTAATAAGATAAGTGTGAAATAAAAGGGGTGCAAATATACATAACAAAATGTTTAGAAAATGGCGTGATTATTTGGTAAATGCCTCTTTCATTTACGGAAATTCAGATCCAGATGACTAGGATTTCAAAAGCTCCTTTTTTTTTTTTTTTTAGTTACAATTAACATTTAAGCTCTGAGACCTTTTCATTGACAAAAATCAAGAAATAAACAGCTTGAGGGAAAAAACCTCATTATTGTTTTTTGAAATGACATTCCATATTACCATGTCTAATAAGAGCTAGAAAACCTTGATCCACTCTGAAGTCAAGTATACTCAGCCTTGAGAAAACGCGCCACTTCCACGACCAATGCATCTCTGGGTGACGCTTACCAGACCAGTGACGCTGGGGTTGGCCCCGTGGGAAAGCAGCAGCTCCACCACGTCAGTGCGGCCTTTGTAGCACGCCCACATCAGAGCGGTCCACCCTCCCTAAGGGAAACACAGAGGGCAGGGATCAATCCTGCGGTCGCCTCCAAGCCCAAAATGCCCCCAGTGAAGTCCCTCCTGCACATATCTTTTTAACACTACTGTTTTATGAAGGAAATGCTAAATAGTTCTAAATACCCAAGATCCCCAAAGAAATATAGAATAGTATATGAGATAAATTAAATCTCTTTTTGAAAAAAGAATTATTTTATTTAACTTAATTTATTTATTTTAATTTGACCAGAGAGAGCGAGAGAGAGAGAGAGCAAACTGCCATGTCTGGGACTCGAACTGCAGTCGGCCATGTGGGAGTCCAGCACCCTTAACCATCATGCCAAATACCAGTCCCAGTTAAATCTCTGAAGTCCAGAAATAATTATTCTAAAGTACAAGACCATAAAAATTAAAATGTGGGAGACCAACAGTAATGGCTATGTTGCTGGACTTCCATGAAGTCGACTGCAGTTCAAGTCCCGGACCTGGTGGCTTAAACTCACGCTGGGAACATGTGCGTGTGTGCCCAAGATCCCAAGAGGAGAATGGAGGGAAAGGATTGTGGCATGGCCATCCCCCCTGGGGGGGTGATTTCTCACTTTCTGTCTCTCTGTCTCTTTCTGGCGAGCGCATGTGCCCTATAGGAAAAAAACTCTCCAAAAAAAAAAAAATTTTAAATGTAGAACATTCATGATGAACTCGTCTAAACTCCTTTGACATATTTCGGCTGTATAAAAACTCTCCTTTGGAAAACTTCCTATGTTCCTAGATAGTCTCCTCCATATATGAGTCTAAACTTTTTTTTTAGAGAGACACCTTTGCTATAGGGCGCATGCTCTTGCTGGAGAGTCAGAGATGGGGAGAGAAAGTGAGAAATCACCCTGCAGGGTGGATGGCCATGCCGCAATCCCTTCTCTTCCATTCTCTTCTCGGGATTTTGGGCATGCACGCACAAGCACCCAGCATGAGTTATAAGCAGCCAGGGGCAGACTCGAACCACAGTCAACTATGCGGCAGCCCAGCAACATAAGCATGACGCCACCTGCTGGCCCCATATGAATCTAAACTTGATCCAGAGAAGGGTTCCAACAATCATATTCAATGCCTGTACTTAAACCCGTCCTTTAAATCCAGATCACTATTGTTACCTCTTGCTACAAAGAGAAAATGCTAAAACAACAAGATCAGGATTCTCAGGGGTGGTGAGGTCATCAAGTACGAATTAACAGCGTGATAACATTCCACTTAGTAAGCTACCAGAGCAATTTTCCTTTAGTTAATGCAACTCAATAAGAGACAAAGATAAGTCATCCCATGGCCTGGTAGTGAAGGGAGCTGGATTCCACATGGTCAGTCATGTAGTTCAAGTCCCAGACCTGGTGGCTCAAAAAACTCACTGGGCACGTGTGCATGCGTGCCCATCCAAATCCCAAAAGAAGGGAGAAATGGAGAAGAGACTGAGGCATGGTCACCCCCTGGGGAGTGCTTTCTCACCTTCTCCCTCTCTCATTCTCTCAGATTCTCTGGTGAGCACAAATAAAGTCAAAGAGAGAGAGACCAATGTATGAAATCTTACTAAGGAATTTAGGTGTTGGATATCATACCTGGAATTCTTCCTGAGCCCCCATGAGTCTGTGCCTGAGCCAGGCATAAATCAGGCACTCGTATCATTAACTCATCTGATAAACTGGTATGGTACCTTCAATAAAATACCGTTACCACTACATGACATCTCACACAGTGATGGGCCACGTGCACCAGAGTGCAGTAACAAGCTACACCACACAGCCCAGGCATGCACCAGGCTGTGAGATCCAGCTTTGGGTAAGCGCATGCTACGAGGTTCGCACACACACTGCCTGACCACCTTCTCTCACGGTGCACTGTGGTGATGCACGATGGCTGAGAACTCTCCGACTCCCCACATTTCCCCTCTGCCTGAGCCAATAAAGGGCCCATCCTTGCCAAAGTTACCGACATCATTATCTGCTCTCCCTAAACATGTATAGCACTGTGGCTAAATCTCTTTTGAAACAGGTAAGATACAAATGGTTCTCTGTATCTTCCCATAAAAATAAGTATGCCACCCATTTCATAAAGTTTTGAGATGATTCTAGCAGAAAGATCACCATGTAAATGATAATACACTATTTATTAAGTACAAGATGAGGGAAGAGCATACTTTCTTAAAGATTCAGACCACCTGTACTTCAAAAAGCATCATCAGCGGGAACCAGCAGTTAGCGTAATGGCTATGTCGCTGGACTCCCACGTAGTCGACCGTGGTTTGCGTCCCAGGCCCGGTGGCTTAAAACTCACGCCAGGCGCGTGTGCGTGCGTGCCCAAGATCCCGAGAGGAGAATGGAGGAGAAGGGATTGCGGCGTGGCCATCCCCCCTGGGGGTGATTTCTCGCTTTCTGTCTCTGTCTCTCTCTGTCTGTCTGGCGAGCGCACGTGCCCTATAGCAAAAAAAAAAAAAAAACTCTAAAAAAAAACAAAAAGCATCATCAGCTGTGTAGTACATGTTCTGCACATCAAAGAGGTCATTTCTGTTCTTTCTTCTATTGTTCAAATTAACTTTTGAAAATAGAAAGCCAGAGATGATCCTTTTCTTCACCTTTATGCTTCAACCAGATGCCAAGATCACATACGAGCTAAGTGATAATTCAGGTTTGAACAGAATTACAGGTTTAAAAAAACTCTGTAAATATTATTCTGAAAATTGTAACAACTCACAATAAATATTTCTTTAATTTATTTACTTTGACGAGAGAGGGACAGAATGAGAGAGAGAGAGAGAAAGAGAAAGCAAGCCACCAGGTCCAGGACTTGAACTGCAGTCAGCCATGTAGGAGTCCAATGCCCTTAACCATGCCACCTGCCGACCCCATACATACAATAAATATTTCATATCTATATGACTGCCATGCATCTTGAAGTTCTATCTAAAAGAAACAATTTTATCAGAAATCTTAACTGACATATGAAAGGGTAATGAGATTTTTTAAACGGTATTTTAAAATTTTAAACTCTGAACTAAACTGAAAATTATGAGCAAGAATATTCTAAAAGGTTCATTATGACACTTAAATTTTAAAACGTTCTTCAGGGTCATTTCAATGACAATCCTAAAAGCACAACTATAATATCACCTAATACATAAAAATGTAAGATTTCACCAAAGCCTGTTACTTCAGCTATGAGAAAAATACATACCATGTCACGGTGCTCCACGTTAACCCCACATTTAAGCAGCTCTTCCACAATGTGTACATGCCCTTCTTTGGATGCGGAGATAAGTGCTGTCCAGTTATCCTTGAACGCATACACAAAAATGTTACCATTTTAAACCAAAAACAACATTCCAAAGTAAGAAAAAATAAAATACGCATTACCAAGTGATCCTGCCAAATCAACATGATTTGACCTACTCTAAACTAATCTAAAATAGTATTGAATCTCTCCTTTTTCTATAGATTTTTTTTTTAGAGAAATATTTCTAATATAGAACACGTGCACTAGTCGGAAAGAACAACAGAAAGCGAGAAATCACCCCCCAAGGGGATGGCCACGCCGCAATCCCTTCACCTTTATTCTCTTCTCAGGATCTTGGGCACGCATGCACACGCACAGGCGTGAGTTTTAAGCCACCGGGTCCAGGACTTGAACCACAGTTGGCTACATGGGAGTCCAGCAATGTAACCATTACGCCACCTGCTGGTCCCGAAGCCTTTTGTTTTTTTAATTTGCTACAGGGTGCATGTGCTCACTAGAGAGAGAGAAAAGTGAGAAAGTAAGAAGGCACACCTGAGAAGGCACGCCCGAGAAGGGATGGCCACACTGCAATCCCTTCTCTTCCCTTTCTCCTTCTGGCATTATGGGCACTAACACACATGTGCCCAGTGTGTTCTTCACGCTGCTGGGTCCAGGACTCCAACATGGCAGTTGGCCATGTGGGATATAACCACCTTAACCACCACACCACTAGCTGGTCCCTGCAGCTCTCTTAGAGCACTTTGTCTGTCTACTTGTAGCGCTACCAGTGGTGTAGAAGTGGTTTTATAATTGCTTGTTCAATCTTCTCACCAGACTTCTAATCACATACCATTTTTTAAAAAAGAGAAAAGATGGCCATCAAAACCTCAAAGCTAATCCTAGTAGCTGCAACCATCACTGTAAATTGAAATTAAAAGACCTATGATCAGGTTTAAGAGTACATTCAAAGCTATTAAACTAGAATGATCCTATATGATGAGTACAGAAACTGTGTGATAAATAACTATTCTCCTTTACCTTTTAAGATAAAGAATACAAGTATCCTATTTTAACTTTTATTCATGAGTGTAATTTAATCCAAATGATCATTCAATTAACACCACCAACAAAAAAGCAATCCCAAGAAAACTGGGGAAATTAGAGGAAATGTAATCTTTTAAAATGGTGGTTTAACAGGGGCCAGCAGGTGGCATAGCAGTTAAGGGTCTGGGTCCTACATGTTGACTGCATGGTTTGCATCCCGGACCCAATGGCTTGAAAACACACCAGGCTCATGTGCATGCATGCCCAAAATCCCAAAAGGAGAATAGAGGAGAAGGGGCTGCAGCAGAGTCTTCGCCCCTGGGAGGGAGAGACTTCTCACTCCTCTCCTCCCCTTACCCCAGCCTCTGTTGACATAGGCACTCATTAGCATAAAAAAGCAATTTATCCCTTAGAAGTGATATCAAAAGAGATGACATCTTTTTTGGCCATCATCATACACAATGCCATCTATAATAAGTTACCGTATCGGAAGTTAACGACATGACAGACTCATACATGGGTATTTCTCACGTAGGCATTGAAGTGTCTGTGCTCTCTGTTCAACTAGTACCATCTACATATAAACAACAGAAAGACCTGAAATCCTTCATTTACCTATTTATCAATTACTCTAAAAAAAAAAAAAAAAAAAAGAACTAAGGTAGCACATTAGGTAAAGTTGAGATACATTGGAAAATGCCATTTTTAATCTATTATTTTCTTCAAATAAAACAGCAAAGTTTAGGAGAAGAAGACAAATGAGTAAATTATTTGAATACATACCAAATCTTCGAGATTGCAGTTAGCTCCATTCTTAATTAATTCTTTCACTATCTCCAGGTTGCCCTGCTCCGCAGCTAGCATCAGAGGAGTCTGGCCGCACTGGAGAACACGAGACAGGGGACGCATCAGCGCTGTGCTGTCACCCCACACCAGCTAGCTCGACATGCCTTGCCTACACTGTCATGAAGGTACCATACGCTCTCGTTGGATTTACTGTATTTCTTCCATTTAGAAACAGCTCTCACACCATTTTATGTCAACTTTAAAAAGATTTCAAATAAAGAAACAGTTTTGAACCTTCAGCTTCGCTTTTCTAATAATCTATCAAAGAAAAACTGAAAAACATTTGTTTTTCCCACAGTGTTCGTAATCTGTTTTTGGCACTGCGGATTCATTCACAATAAGAGAACATGCAGGAGGGGGTCGGCAGGTGGCGTGGTGGTTAAGGGCACTGGATTCCCACATGGCTGACTGTGGTTCGAGTCCTGGACCTGGTGGCTTGCTTTCTCACTTTCCCTTCCTCTCTGTCTCTGGTTAAATTAAAAAATAATAATAACAACAACAAATGGAAATAAATAAATCTTTTTAGAAAGGGAACAAGCATCAGCATGTTTCCAAGGGCTGTGGCTGCTGGTGGCCACGAGTTCTCCAACTGCATGCGAGAGCAACGTGGAGGGACTTTGACAGCCCGGGTCACACCGCACCTGCAAGTGCCACTCGCCTTTCCTATAAACCCCGTGGCCCAGGCTGGGAGCGCTCATGCTGGGCTTCAGGGGCTTCCATTGTGCAGGCGCGGCTCCCAGCAGGAGGCTGCAGAGCCATGGGGCCCTTTGCTCTGGAAGCACTGGGATCGAGGCCTGTGTTCCTAGGAGTCGGCTCTGCAGAGCTGGGAGACACAGGAAGGAACACAAGGAAAAGCAGAATTCCTGGTGGCAACAGCTAATATAGCTCTGGGTGGCCAATAAAAGAGACTCTGGCAGTGGGGAAAAAAAAAAGGGGGGGGGGACACGTAGGACACTAGGATCTCGGAGGTAATTATTATCACACTGCACATAAATTTCAGGTACCCATGGGAACTGAATTCTCTAGCACTACAGGTAGAATACAGTAGTGAACATGTTTTATTCATACATTCCTTTTATCTAAAACAGGACTAGTGGGAGAAAAATCAAATAATAAATAAAAACAACATAGGTGCTACATATATAATTTACATGTATAGTTTAAGTCTTCCCTTATAAGCCTTAATTCAGGAAACCATAGCTCCTGCAAGTTAAATCCATTTCCCAGGCTTCATGCTAAGGATGAGTCGCAGAAGCATAGGCCTGGTGCTCCCTCAGCCCTGGACACACAGCCGGGCAGCTGGACGCCGGGACAGTAAAAGTTCGTACATGTCATTTTGTGGGAATATCACAGGCGAGATATTTAACGCACCACTCTGACATCCTTCTGTTTAAAACCCAACAGTGTTTCTCCCTCCTCTTTTGGATAAGAGCCAAACCCCTGCAATGGTCCACGAGAGCCCTGAGCAATGAGGAACATGGCCAGCCTCCCTCTCCACCTGGCCCGTGCCGCTCCTGCCCAGCGTGCCCTCCTGCTCTTCCCACCTCGGCACCAAGCTAACCCTTAAAGGCTCTAAGTCCATGAGGCGGGGAGCAGGGCTGTTTCATTCACATGTTTAATCCTATATACCCTCTGGGGGTATACAGAATAGGCCGGCCATGGGAGCATGCTCCTGTGATCCCAGCTCACTAGGAGCCTGGGGAAGAGGATTAACACAGCAAGACCCTGTCAAAAATACCTCTCCTCCCCTCTCTCTCCCTCATTTTCTCCTCTGTCTCTCATAAAAAAGATAATTAAAAAAAATAATAAAGTAAATCATATGACATTCCTATACAATGATAAATCCTGAATTATATGTGGTAGTCACACGTCATTTAACCAGGGTCATTAGGGAATGAGGTGTTAGGCATAAACAGATTTTCTGGGTAAAAAAGTATCCTTTAAATATTACATCTGATTATAACTTTTACAATAAACACCATTCTAAAAGCGACGTGCACATTGCTACCTGTTAAACGAGTCAGTCTACGAGTCTGACCCCCCAAGCCCTGCTGCGCTCCCCGAGTAGAGCGCAGACCACGACGTGCTTACAAATGCAGGACCAGGGAGCAGGAGACCAGTGCCAGCCGACGGCGCCAACCAGACGCAGGTCTCCCCACACTACTTTATTTAAGGGGTCTGCTATCTGAGGCTTCTTTTTGAAACTGATAACCAGAACACATTAATATAAAGTTATAAATACTCTACTTTTAAGGACAAGAAAGAATGGGGGTGATCCAAACAACTTTCAAAAGTCTGTAAAAATTAAATTTCATCAGAAGTTGTAGAAACAAAATGCTAATAAATAAAACACCACAAAAAGGCCTTGAGAAAGCCACATTATATCCGACATTCAGGCTGAGCCATAATTGAACAAACTTGGGTGGCATCTTTTAAAGCTCCTTCAAGCGTCCTAGAAGCACATTAGATTTCCATAATCGGACTTGCTGAATGTAGATTACTGTATCAGGGGAAAAAGTCAATCATAAATTTAAATTCAATAGTAAATCATTTCATATTAAAACGCACTCCAAAAACACAGACTTTGAAGTCCTTTTAACTCTAAATCATAAAAGTAGCGTCTGTAACACTGGGGGTGAAAACCCCTCCTTCCCCTGTCCCTGGCACAGGGCCTCATTCGTAGTAGAGTCAACGAATACGTGGGAAATACTTTAATTTTACAAACGTGCCCTTACCTCATTCCTCTCATCTACATCTTTGCATTTTTCAAGAAGAGCTTTCAAAGCGGGAATGTTTTCTTCTTCTACATAATTGATTACACTCTGTGATATCAGAACCGACATTTTCACAGAGCGTTGTAGTTATCCGTTTCGATACCTGTTAAAAGTAGATCAGACATAATATACATCATTTGTGGTTAGGAAAAAGCACTCCTATTAAATATATTACCCTTAAACCTGGGCAAGCCTATCTCAGGCGGTAAGACTGAAAACGGGCCCCACAGTTCAGCAGACTCACACTCACTCAACCTCAACTCATCTGACCCCTAAACGCACCCCCAGACCCACCTCATCGTCACCCCAAATAAAAGGGAGTGCCCCGCCGCACCTCCGCTGCGCCATCTCGGACAGGGCAGCTCAAGGCCATTCCTCCACGGCCGACCATGGGATCACCTGTAACTTCTTTCTCCCTCTTATTCCCCAGAGCCAATCCACCAGCGTGTCCTTTCAGCACTCCCTCCACGCCGTATGTCACGACCACTCCCCACCCTCCATCACCACCACCCTGGTACAAGCCACCCTGCCCTCTCTCCCACTCGCCTCGCTGGGAAAGCGCCCTGCCTGGTCTGCGTCCACTCCGGCCTCTCACCTGGGCCACTGTCATGGATCCCTCGCTCATCTCTGCACTTCCACTCTGCCTCCCCTAGCGTCTACAACACAGCCATAAAAATGGACCAGAGCTACCAGAGGCGGAGGGGGTTGGGGCACAGAGTACAGGGGAGCCAAAGCGACTCCCAGCTTGAAGCGAGACCACCATCTGGACTGACACCTAACCCCAGGCTCTGTCTGACATTGCCAAGGCTGAATGCAGCCTGAGCTGTCACGGCAAACATGCCAGCACACACTGAGCGGTCACGGCAAACATGCCAGCCCCCTGCCACAGAGCAGCTGGCCCTGACCAGTAAGATGTGGCATTCCCACACCAGGCTGCTCCCACCTTCCC